GGGGATCAGGGGAGGGTGATCAGGGGACTGGAGCACCTCCTGTATGAAGATAGTCTGAGAAAGTTGGGGCTGTTCAGCCTGGAGAAGGCTGTGTGGAGACCTCATAGCAGCCTTCCAGTATCTGAAGGGGGCCTGTAAGGATGCTTCGGAGGAGCTCTTCATTAGGGACTGTAGTGGTAGGACAAGGGGTAATGGGTTCAAACTTCACCAGGGGAAGTTTATATTGGATATATGGAGGAAGTTCTTTACTGTAAGGGTGGTGAGGCACTGGGATGGATTGGCCAAGGAAGTTGTGAATGCTCCGTTCCTGGCATTGTTCAAGGCCTTGCAGTGACATGGTTTAGTGTGAGACGTCCCTGTATATGGAAAGGGGGTTGGAACTAAATGATCTTAAGGTCCTTTCTAACCCTAGCTATTCTATGATTCTAAGTTGTTCTTCCCAATATCGTTTAGCCACCCACAGGACTTCTTTTAGGGTTCACTGTTGCAGTGCTATAAGCATGTTTTCTTCTTGGTGATAAACTGAATTACTGCCCTAGGGAAAAAAATCCCACATAAAACCACCATGTTCTTCTTGGCATGTTACTAAGTAGCCCATAGTGAAAAAGGGTAATGATTTTAGTTAAAAATAACTTTTAAGCACAGTGGTAGGACAAGTGGCCTGCCTTGTGCAGGATTTTGGGGTTTTGGATGCAAATGTGCTCTCAGGTCTTTGATATGTTAGGGTATATGGGTGCATGGAGAGGGAGTCAGAGAAGGATGGCATTGCCTCCCTACAGTATTGTCATTTACTTAGGAGGCACAGTCTCTGTGTTTATGAGGGTATCATGCTGGAGAGCTGTTCTGGTTGCATAAGACAAGAGAGGAAGAAAGGGAAAGAGGTTGAAAAGGGCTGCTCAGCTCAGCTTCACAAAGCTCTTTCAGGAAGAGCTCTGTGAAGAGCCAGGTTGCTTCGGCAGCTGCACTGCTGATAAAAGACTCTGAAAGGCCATGCTGGAAGGTGTGTGCTTTTCCCCAGGTTGCCATGGCCCAAGGCTCAGCTATACTTTCTGCACCTCATGTTTTCATTTGTGGGTGGGAGATATTCTGTGGGTATTGCAAGGCAGGAGAGATGGAAGAACTAAAAGCCACAGCCAGGATTGGCCAGTGAGACTTTCCAGGGGCCAAGTGGAGATGAGTTGTGTCAGCTCCTTGGAGGTGAGGCCAGTATTTTCAATTGCTGTTGCTCAAAACTGGAACCGAGCAGGTCAGAGCCCTGCGGAACCTGCAAGCGGCTGCAAGGTGCATTGCTCTGTGCCCACCTCTCCAGCTGATGTTCCCAGCCATAGACTTGGGAAAGTGAGAGGAAGATGGGATCCTCTGGTGAATCCCAGCCAGCTCCTCTGGAGCACAGAGCCTGGCAGCTCCACGGAGGCCTGACAGTGCCATGTGCGTCACGTCTGACTCCTTTAAACAGGGCTGGCAGCTCCGTCTGGGACTTCTCTGGGCAGCCCAGCAGTGCCGGTGCTCTCCGCAGCCTCCAATCTGTGTGTGCCCCTGGTGTCCCCCTGGAGCTGCTGGCGTGAAGCGAGTTGAGACTGGCCCTCATTTGACTTCTGGATAACGCAGTTTGGTGTTTCTCATCCACAGGCTGTGAAAACTGGCAAGTGATCAGCTCCCGTCACCCATGCAGCTGAGATAATTAAGCCTGTTACTATTACTATTTTTATTTTTCTTCTTTTTTATGCAAGCTTTGATCAACTACTGGAGCCTGTGGTGCAAAGAGGAGGATAAGGCCACCAAGACTCCCTATGAGTGGTGGAAAAAATTGAACATATGTGCTTTGGTCTTCAATACTCACTGAGACGCCTTCTTGCTCTTTGCTTTTGGGAAGGGGGAGGTGTGATGATGGGTGGGAGCCAGCAGAATGCAAAGCAAGCCCCTCCATCGAAAACCCTTGTGCATAGCTGCTTCTAAACTAGAGCATCATATCAAGAGCAAGCAGCAGAAGGTCATTTAGTAGCAATACATCTATGAGCTCTGAAGATCAATGTACTTCTAAATCCTTTCATTAAAAGACCACAAAACACGGAATTGTGCTCTATAAATTAAGACCAAACACCTACAGTACCCAGTGAGATGAAGCTTGTCTCTTTGCAGTGTTCTCCTATTCCTCCTCTGTAAGCATCAGGCACTGCTGGATGGAGGAGGGATGGATGTATTAGGAGGCAATAACCACAGCAGGATAGATAGAGCGAGGTGTTTTAATTTCTTATCAAACTCCTTGGGCACTAGAAACTGTAAAATAACATGCATATAAACAAACAAAAACTCACTGACCCTTAGCACCCTGGAGGGCTCTGTTTCAGATCACTGAATAAAAGCTGAAGTTGCACATGCATGTTTAATGTAACACAAGGCGTGTGCTGCAGAAAAGCGTGCTTTCTTCTAATCTGGTTCCAGACAAGCATCCAAACAGAAGCCCCTTTCCCTATCCCCACTGAACTGCTTGGTGTATGCGAGGAAACCCCTGAATGACAAGGCCTCCATCTGCTCTTGAACGGAGTTGCGACTGGCTGCAAATGTTGTCCATATGCTTTTTTTTCCTTGCCTTTCAACTTAGCTGCCTAATGTTAGACACCTATCCCTAAATTAAGCCTCTGCTCATAATAAGCTTTCCTAAAAAAAGGTGGAGGTAGTAGCTAATTCAAGCAATGAGTATTAGTAGAGGTGCATCTGCAGATGGAAAAGGATGTGGGGAGTTACTCATCCAGTGCATTGCTTTCACTTTTTCAGGAAATGGAAAAGCCCCTGCATTCGTATCCTGTCAGGGAAAACTTAAAAATTATCAAGTTTTGGGTTCATATTCCCCTCTGTTCTTGATTTCCCAGGTGGTTATAGGCAGCATATTGCCATTTCTTTCTGCTGGTGATATTTTCATCCAGACAAGAGAACATGGCCATGGTTTGCTATGAGCTCAGGTTGCATGACAGAATATCCTAAGGCAGAGGAGGGCTTTAAAATGGTAGTTTTACTTTGGTTTGTGGTGTAAAAAGGGTTGGAGTATCTTTTTCAACAGAAGGACTTTACAGTGAATACACAATTTGACCATCAGTAAGTCATGTTTGGAAACAGTTTCCTAAACACAGGTGTATGTTGTTGCTATAGGCACCATAAGGTATCCCAGCTGTCCAGCAGCTGCCTGTTAGGAAATGTGTGGGTCTTTGTAACCTCTGTTTGTATCTCTAATTTGTTTCATGTCCTGTATTGTGTCTAGAAAGTCTTTGTTTAGACAGACAAGTATCTCCCTGTGCCTCAATTTCATATCTCTACGGTAATAATTTAACACTATTGCCTTAAATTTTACTTTAATCACTTCTTTCTGGGAGATGTTTTTTGAGTTTAAGAGATTACAGAGTAGGACTTCAGTAATGGGGCAATAGCAAAGTACCTTTGATAGATGGGAGTCACAGGTAGAGGATACCAGTTGGAAGTAGTCCCCTGAAAACCTTGAAGTTTGACAGGCTACAGTCAGCAGCTCACTGGGAGTTTTGGTTAGGTATCAGGTGTAGGCACAGACTTTTCAGTGTCTTTTTCTACTCAGGATCTCTTTTGAAAAGCAGAGAAAGACAATTTTTGCACATTATCTGACCTTGCTGGGACTTGTAAGATGCTGGGGTCACCACATAAGAGACCTCACCACACCTGGCAGGTTGCAGGCACTTCTGAGGTGACCAGAAGTTATCTGCCTCTTTGTAATACCTGTCACCAAGGGTCACCTCTCCACTGTGCCCTGACATTGAGCAATAGCTGCAATCCCTTTTAATCCTGCCTTTTCCCTTCCTGTTCATTTAGGGCAGAGCACTTCAACTTTGTGAAACTCATTAACTGCTTTAGTGTTAAGGTCTCCTTTTCTATATAAATTCATCCAGCTGAAATCTCGTGACTCTTTGTGGGTGCATGCAAGCAGATTCTCACTCTGTTGCCCAGCAGATGCTGAGAGTGTTTATTTTTCAGCTGTGGACAGCAGAAGTCTGAAAAAGGGCAATGTCTTTGTGTGTGTCTATAGGAAAACAAGTAATTGTGATGAGTTTGTGGGGACTCAGTTGGCTGTGCTACTGTTTGAGCTCAAGGGCCATTTTGACCAAACCTGGAATCCCAGCCCCTTTCTGACATGGTGATTTATCAAGACGTCCAGGTCTGGTATGTTACCAAAAAGGCTTTGTTGAAGAACCAAAGCAACTCTCATAATCCCCAGGAAAAGAATCATATTAACATAAAGGGCCTAGCTGCTAACACTCAATCAATCTGACGGGTTGTCAACCAAAAGAAGGTGTTAGGCTCAGTTTTTCAAAATGTTGGTTGTAGGTAAAAGGAGAGTGAGGGGACCCTGTTTCTTCGTAAATTTCCATTGGCCCCAGCATGTTATTGATGTTGCAGGATCTGCCCCAGCAGTGTTGAGTGAGGATGGGCTATTGAACTCCTGGCAAAGATTTGTCAGTGGTTATATGGACCTCATTATATGTAATCATGAGGGCAAGTCACACCTGTACACTTTATTTCACTAAATTTAGTTACATTAAAATCACGCAAGCACTAACTTTGTGAGGATGGGTAGAAATGCTGATGAATAAGCTTTATCTCAAGACACTTCTGTTTGGTAATTATAATCTCTAAGCACGATAGACTTGTTCCTGTTCATGTATGCGTATGAAGATATTTGATTAAAATAGTGTTCCTTTTCAGTATGGCTTGCCTGTATTCTGTTTTTTTCTACATGCCTTGCTTTCCTTCTGTCCCTGCTTACGTGACATCCTTGATGCTGTGATTACTGGGCTTTGGGGAAGTCTTCTTAATAGTTTGGAAGCTATGATGCTGTGGAAGGGTATCTCCCAATGCAGGATGGGTCCACAGGCTTCCGTAATGCCCTTTCTTCCCCCTCCTTCTGGTCAGAAATACAAGCCTCTTGTTCTTCAGTGGTTGAAATTGTGCTAATATTTTTCTTGCCTTATCTCTTATAGGAAAAAGTCATTGGAGATGCGAAACTGCTTATGAGTTGTGGCTGCAGAAAAGGGAAAAATGCTCAAGTGAAGGACTTGGATCAGGTCAGTCAATATGTACCTTAACTTGTGGAAATAAAAGAATGTGTTAACATCTGGTTGATTCAAATTGTGCTGTTGTATATGAGCATTCCTGGACACAAACAAGAGTCCTTGGCATGGCTGGCAATGGTACAACATTAACGTTTTTGTATTTGTTATTTGTCAAGAGACCCTCAAGCAAGATCAGGATTCATTGCACTAGGAGCTGTTAATGCCGTAACCTGGCTTATTCCCATCTCATTTATTTATTCATGAATTCTGTTTCTTTATAAAAAAAACATTCCAGGCAATGCCTTTCTTAAATAATATTTCACTTCCTTGCTGGCTAAATGCATGCAAGCTTTGGTTTCACACTGTATCTGCCTGGATGGGCAGTAATTACAGAGAAACATGCCTTTTGCCGCATGCCTTTGTTCTGAAGTGTCACCATCACAAGAGCATTCTTTATTGAGGTTCCTTATGATAGACACGTAAAAACTTGTTCACAAACCAATGGTCAGGATTCAATATTCATTACTTGGAATGAATAGTCCCTATTCTAAAACTGGTCAAATTGATGTCAGTGGGATCGCTTGTAAGGTCTAGTAATTGCAAGCAAGGTGGACTGCACTCTGAACACCAGGCAGCTGGTGGTCTCTTCCTACCTCCTACCATTTTGCCTCTGACTGCACTCTGAGCAACAGTCAGCTGGTGGCCTCTTCCTACCTTCTACCATTCAGACCAGCCAAGTTTGTCCCTGTCAACGTTTTCAGTTATTACGGCCTTCTGGCTTTGTATCTAAAGAAAAGTTTAAATCCAGAGATCGTTCTCTCCAAAAATGAAACAAAAGTTTATTTGAGCAGAAACATTTTATACATATTGGTTCATCTAATGTTAAATGTGGTAGTGAGAAGCAGTTGATCTCAAGTACCAAATACCTTTGCTCTTAAATGTACCCTGTGAACAACCTGCAGCCATGTACAGGCCTGGAGCGGATTCAGACAATGCCCACAAAGCTCCAGGAACTCCTGATAATTTACTGATGGGAAAAGAGATGAATTGTCAGGAGGAAAAAATATTTTTCATTTCCAACATGCATGTTCAACAACCCTAGCTAACAACAGTATCTCAGAGTCTCATTTTGTTAATGTCTGTTACTATCTGTATATCCTTCAGTGGATTCTGTTGTGAGGAATGTTGGTCACACTTATAAATGCTTTGTAGTATTGATTCTTTCAGTAATGTTTTTTTTTTTTCTTTAATTAGTATTTTCAAAATGACAAATTCACTGTCAGCTATCCTATCAGTTCACCATCAAGAAAAGGATTTGTATTACTTTTATCGAAAGAATAGCTTCCCATTCTCTCAAATACAAGTTTAATTTTCTCATGTTGATGTTCAAGCACATCAGGAAAAAAAACGATTTAGAAATTAACACTTTCACCAATTTTAGTTTTTTGTATTTTGATATACTCTGGTTGAATCACTCTTGATTTATAACAGGACTAAAGCAGTGCCAAACTGCTTGTAGTAGAGATTAATAATTAAGTGGGAACATACTGATTGCAGAGAGGTTTTGCAAAACACTGTCTTTAACAAACCCTGGATGTGGGACCTAAAACTCATTGATTGCTATAGTTTGATTATAGGGTATGTAACAGGTTTTGGAGTGAAAAAGCATCCCATTCTCTTTTATGTTTTCTGGCACAGTGATAAATTATTGTGTTTGGTTACTTTCTGAAATATAATTTTTGATGTCTGTGGTGTGTTGACCATCTCAGTAAATCTTTTTTTGTTGTATCAGCCAAACTATGGGGGAAACGCTTACTCCAGAGGCTGTAAAGCTCATATGTTGTGCCCATGACATGGTCTTGTCTGTATTTCGATAGGAGGTTGATGGGGAGGAAACTAGTATAGGAGGGTGGGTGGCAATACGGAACATTTGTCTGTGAATGCAGAACCTCAGCTCAGCTTATAAATTATCCCCTGGGACTTGTAGATAAACACAGACTTCTATGGTGACATCGGCTGGGAAAGGCAAACACTTTCCGATGATTGTAGGGTAATCCTTCAGGACACTAATTGCCAGAAAACCAAGGAAGCATTATTTTAGGAACAGCTTGTTTCACTTTGTGAAGGGGAAAGACACTGCACTGGATTTAGTTTTATTTGCAGAGCTTTATCCCCTCCTCCTTCACCATGTCTCAGATTTTAAAGGTTTACCTTCATTGTTGTTGTTAGGGACTTTTTCTTCTTTTTTTGTCAAAGGTTTACCTGTGATGCCTCTGTAAAATTGTATGAAAATGAAACTTAGTTTTAATTTTCATGAATGTACATATAAATAGGTGTGTGGGGTTTATACCATTAACCATTTAAAATTTTGGGACTAACCAGCTACTTTTTGGCTGAATATTTTTTGTGAAAGATAATGCTTTGCCGAGATTTTTTTTTTTTTTTCATTATTTCAAGTCAATTTGAAAACTAGCAAAAAGTCCTAGACACACTCCCCCACCAGTGAAAATCCACAGGTGGACCAAGTCATGACCCCATTGCTGAGAATTTCATTTACTGGCAGTCCTCCAGTAAGCCTCTAGAAGAGAAAGCACCTTTACCTCCTTCACCCGAGGTGTGCTCCCTTGAGCCTGGCATCCAAAGGGACCTATATACATGGTATTCTCCATGGTGCAAGTCACCAGAGTGTAAATCCTGGCGCTGACACTATCAATGACAGACGTCCAAGCAGTCTCACATGAGATTGGGATTTCAAAACAGTCACAAGGAACCCAACCTTTATGTTGGATTTGCACCAGAGCAGGAGAGGGCCTGTGTTGTGTGGCCTATGTTGTGTGGCCTCCCAGCCTAAATCAAACCCTACAAGATGAAGTGAAAGGTTAAGCAGTGTAATGTAAATCCACCAAAAGCTTTGAAAACCTTGAAGAGAATACATCTGAAGAACTAGTGACCCATCCTCCATGGATGTTCCTGATGAAGCTTTGGGGTGGTGCAGCAGGATGACTGAGAGGAGTCCCCAGAAAAGGCTACTTCTTGGCAGCGATCCCGTCATGTCCTTGGTTGCCATTGGCACCATTTGACAGATGTCTGTGTGCTTTGTGGGAATGAAATTCATCCATGCTCCAAAGCCCAGAACCAACTTTCTGCACCGCAAACATCCTACTGTAATTGTAAGGTTCCTATATGCTCTTCAGGGTGGTTTTTAGTTTCCCAGTAGTTTAGGCCTCCCTATAAATTATTATACTGTTCTTATTGTTTGAGGTGAGTGTTACATAAAAACAGCAATCCTGGACTAGGATTTCCTTGTGCAAAGTCGTATATTAACATAAGGCAGTAAAGATGGTTCTTGGGTAGTAATTTAATTTGTGTACTTTCTGAGGAAAGAAATATGTCATTTAAAAACAGGGAAAAAAATGTGCAGGTGGACAATGTACATATTAAAGCTACACATAATGTTGAGAACCAGAAGTAGCAGAGTACTCCATATTATGAGCACATGCAGCTCTGCCTTCTCAGGGTTTAGTTTTGTTTTCTGTTGCTTCTCCCCAAAAGTAGACAGCTCATGACTGTTTAGCTGATCTTGTCCTTTGATTTTTTTTCTTTTTCTCTTTGCCTAACTTTTCTGGTGGCTTGTGTGAGCTTGAGTGTTACTGAGAAGTGAGGTCCTCCTGTCCTTCTGCGTGTTTGCTTTTGGTTTTAATATGACAAATGTCTGCCTTCTCTGGAAAAGGTATCCATGCTGCAGAGTAATTATTTAGTGAATGGTGGATCCAGTTCATGTTGGCAAGGATCAGATTAATCATTATTAATCATGACCCCTCCGACAGTAACCTCATCCCTTGCCTAAGTGTTGCTCTTTATTAAGAAGGAATAGCTATTAAGGGATAGCTGGGCCATTGCTGTCATTGCACCGGCACAGGGCTCAGGACTTCTGGCAGGAGACAGAGGAACTCAGTTCAAAACTAAAAATAGACACGCATAGTTCACGTCCCAGAAATGAAATAGGCAGCTTCCCCTGTGGGCTTCTTCGGCCTCATCTGAGTGTCCTCTTTTCCCTCTGAATCCTCCCAAGAGTTTGACTCTTCCCAAAGATTGAATTCAGTGTTGGGGATGAAATAATCTCTCTGAAACTTTTTTATTTGTCTGCTTAATTTTCTTTTTTCTTTCTTTTTAGCTTAGTTAGATCCCAGTGTAAGTATATATATAAGTATAATGGATCTGCATTCCTTGCAAGGATCAGGTTTTAAGGTCTATTCTGGTGGTTGTAGCAGGTGTCAACAACTGACAAGATGGCAGATGAGCTTAGCTGTCTGGGACTCCAGTTGTACCAAGTAGACCCCAAACCAACCACCTTTTTGAGTATTTCTGGATTCCTTGGAAAAAACACTGTGTTGTTGAGGTAAGCATGCAGCACTCTTCACCTCATGTGCAAAGTTGTGAGGAGTCCAGCTTCACGCCCCAGGTTATTGGACAGGGGATTGCAGCTCTGTATATATACATGTACATATATATACTGCTAAGAGGAGACAGTAGTTTAATTCATAAATTCATAATTATTCTGGTTTTCCTAGCAGTACAGGTTCTTTTTAAGAAGGTGAGGCAGTGCTATCAATGGATGTCATCATTACTTCAGCAAAAGCACAATTATGTTAAGTACTGGATTGCAACCATTTTCCCCAGCCCCATCCCCCACCTCCCACCCACCCTTACCCCCTCCCCCTCCCCACCCCCAAATCCACCTTAACTACTTTTTTAAATGTTTTCATTGTCTGTATGGAAATCAAGGAAAATAAATCTTTGGAAGAGAGCAAAGGAAAGAAAAACGTCTTTTGTCTCCATCTAGCTCTTCAGTACCTTGAAGACAGCAGCCGAAATTTGGAGGAAACCTGCCACACTCTTTTGATCTCTGCCAAAGCTGTTGTGGGAGTAACACTGTTTAATGGTTGAAGGAATTTATTGAAGAATAAAAGTACCAGCAAAGACAAAGGGACCAGTACAAATTATCTGGTAAA